TATATATAGATATATATCTATATATATATATGTATTTTTTTTTTCTTGTCAATGTCAAACGATAAAGCTTTTATAAGTAAAAATCTAAAATCTTGGTATACATTTTCTCACATTATATATAAACTCTTTAGTCAATGTTATTAGTTTTACGTTGTTAAAAAGGAAACAATATTATCTGCCAACTACTAAATCTGGATAAAATACAACAGCAGACATCAATTATCACCTCCTATTTCATATTCTCAATTGTATGTATATATATATATATATATATATATATACCTTTAATTGTCAGTCCAGACTAGTACTGAAGTTCCCTGAATTTCTAATAATACAACCCAATAATTATTCCCTGATTATACTGCTTGAATGTGAATAATGCTTTAACAACCATAGTGATAAATAATAAGCTTGAAAACAAAGTATATAAACACGCATAATGAGTTATGAGCAAACAAGGAGATGATTAGGCATTCATTAAAATGTGAAGCATAGAGGAAGTGTAGTTTTTTAGGAAATGACTCATTCTAGAAATGTTCTAATTTTGTTTCCCGGGCCTACACAGTAACTATTTAGCAGAAACCAATACTTTTATTCTGCTTACAGGATGTCTGTGTAGAAGGAGTGGGGAGTTATAGAGATGAAAAACATTTTTTGTTCACATTTTAGACTTTTACACACCACATATCCTGCTGTTAGTTGAGATGGTTGATGGTGGTTTAATAGAGAAGGATAGGGACGTTTGGGGGTACTAAACTGAATGAGGCTGAGGATGCACTTCATGCAGCAGATAAGGATGGAATCAGTTTACAAGCTGAGAGGAAAATATGTTTAGACAAACACTTTAGAAAAGTCTTAGCTGGGCTTGTAAGTGATATATGGACCTGTGTCAGCTCTGGTAAACACAGTTGAGAACTATCTACTTTACACTTAAAAGAAACATACCTGTTTAATTCAATTAAATAACATTAACATGGATATATGGAGGATACAGGGCTTCGCAAAAGTATCTAATTATCCCAAACCTTTTTAGATGTTCTGTTATAAACACAAACCTTAATATTGCTATCTCATTTAGGTGGTACAGTATCTGACACACAGCAGTGGAGGGGTAAGGAACTTAAATCTGTTTTTTATTGGTAACACTCTGAAGGGGATTTTTGTGCTTTTTTTAATAGCATCAAAGTGAAAAACAAAGTTGAAAAGGCAATGTAGGGAACAAAGCATACATCTTAAAGAAGATACTTAAGTCTAAAAATAATAAAAAAAAACTTTCCAGCCTACAGGTTATAGGCCTAATATATGATGCTGGAAACTAACTTCACATTTCAAATAAATCATGGAGGTGACACCACCATACTATGTAGATACATGTCTTTTGGAAGGAGAAAATTGATGGCTAAATTTAGAGAATCTTGGAAGAAATTATGAAAAAGTCGGAAAGAACTATGTCGGAATGTATTTTAATGTTCTGGAATGACTTGAGCTAATCCAGGCCTAAAATCAATGTGGATCTTGACTTGAAAACCCCTTTTCCAGACTGCTTGGTGAGGGCCAATTATATAAAATCTC